TATAATAAGTAAATCTGCTAATAAATTCCACTAAGGATACCCTCTTTAGGTTAGACATTAAAATTAAGGTTAGCAAAGAGGTAAATGCAAGGATTGGATCTTAACTAAAAGGATTCAATAAATATTAGAGAAAAAAGGATATTAGATAACTTTTATTTTGAAAAATATCAAAAGTTTCCTCTTCTAGAAAAGAGGTGGGTTTTGAGGCTTTTTGTACATTCCAACTACCTAAAAAAAGAAAAAAATGAATTTTCTATTTCCTATTTGAAGGGCTTGGCGTGAGAGTAAGTTGGGAATGGGATTGGTCATTCAAAATGTAACCCTATATTGAAAGGGACTTGTACACTTTCCAAGTCCTAACGCACCATGCATTACCAAATACCAAGATACACACAAAAGTCATGAGTTGATTCTTCAAAAATCAATATGAACATGGAGGAATATACGAAGTGTGGGAGGTTGGTGCACGTATTTGTTGATTTAGAGGGGAACAAAGGGTACCCAAAAAAAGCTTACATCAACCTGTGCAAGGTAATTGTTGATGGGCACAACACAACATAGAGGGGACCTTCTTCTCCTCATATAATGATTTTACCCAAACTCCCCATTTGTAAGTGGGACCGACTTTTACGTTGTGTCCTCCTCCATGAACTATTTGGTATAATGATTTTGAGTACAACGCTTGATGTTACACCATAACGTTGCACTAGACGAGTGGATTCGTACAGAGTCACACCAAACCCAAATATAAAAGATCGACTTAGTTATACAATAAAGCAACATATTTTACAAGTTATTATACTTAAAACCGTTAATTGTTCGTCTTTTATTTTTTCCTATCCCATGCTACCATGAATACGAAGTGTGGTTATGTGCATGACCTGTGCAGGGGATGAATGGATTGGGTTGGGTTGGGCGCATGATAAATATAATAATAATGGGCGTTACCCTACCAAGAGAATGCATTTTATGGGTGATGATGAAGAAAGGCACGCCAACCGAACCCCATCGCCTGATTTTGTCTCAATTTCCGCCCTAACGCTTGCTCCATCACTCACTTCCTTCCCCTGCTTTTTTTGTAGACGGTTTAATTTCTCCCTTCCCTTTTGTCCCTAGAGACAATATCTTTTTCTTTTTTCGTTTTTTAAAATAATAAAATCACTGTATTTGTTCCTCTTTTTTTTGAAAAAAACATATAATTCGAATATGTAGCTTTCAAATAAGAGCTAGAAGCATCCTATTCAAATTTTAAAAGACAGAAAAAGATTTTTATAAATAGGAGAAGATTATTCTTTATTGTAGAAGAAATTGATTAATTTTTTTCATTTAATAAAAACCGAATTGCCTCACAGTGTTGCTTTACTAAGGTTATGTTTGATATAATTGGTAGGAAGTCTTTTTGGACTTCAAAATCTTCAACTGTACTAAACACTACAATTTGTGAAAAATGCTATAACTTCTAATAAGTTAGTTTTTTGTTTATTTCATTACAAATCTCAGAAGCACTAAATTGGTGTTTCTTCATAAGCTTCTCATTTGGATTTTAATGAAATTAACTCATCATTCTTATTTTATCCTTATTTTTTCTTTTATTTACAAAAACAGTACTTCAACAACAGTTTCTTTTTAACAAAACTTTTTTTAAAAACTACAGCCACACCAAACAGACACTAAGAGTTGTTTTAGAAAGCAAATAATAAGGTCTATTCCTTTTTCAAACTCCTTTCCATCCACCGTATGATACGGATTTGAAAACTCTTTATCACTGGCACGCCCTAAGCAGGCATTTATGTTCTAAAGGAACCAAAACAATTACATATAATTATCTCAAACATTAATTCATTCAACTTGAAACTGAAACTCACATGCTGACTATACGTGAGTGTTAAGGGAGCACGTTTGGCTGACTCACTTGCACCAACATGGCCTGGATGTTTTTACTAGTTTAGATTTTAAGGATCCAATTCCTAACGCTGTAACTTTCCTTTTAGCCAATGCTTTGGGGTCTACCCCAGGAATAGTCAGTTTTCTTCAATTTCATTCATGCTTTTTTCACCAAAAAAATAAAGAGTACTAAAACAACAGCTGCTAAATAAATTAATCAAGGATTATAAGGCAATTTGGAAAGAGAATAAGCAGAGAGAGATCCAAAATGGTGTAAAACAACGAGGGAAAAGAGAGGGTTCCACCAGGGGAATTTTCAGAAAAAGGCAGTATCTTCACAAGGGAAATGATGAAAGAATTGAACATACTAGAGAATAAAGATTGGGTGAGATATTAAAAAGGGAGAGGTCCCATTCAATTTTTATGCAAAAAAACCTAATTAAGACACAGTGCTCCTGCCACTCTTTTCTCTTTGACTTCACATGCCATCTCTCTTTTTGGATCACAAGTTTTTGAGTCTCTAAGTGGAGAACAGAATTATTAGGGTTTGAAGGTGAATGAAATTGGCATGCAAGACCAGACCTCTCTCTCTCTCTAAGTCAAGACTTTACTTGCACTTAATATCTCCATACGCTTCACCATGGAGTTTACCTGTTTACTGTTTGTATCTATTAATGTTTATTGATATGCTTAAACTCCGCGGATGATAGATAGTCTTGCTTGACCTGGGTCCCTTTGCGCTCTTCCTAGTTCACCTGTCACTAGATTTCCCTAGCTAGTAAAAGTGCCAAGCAAACCCGGGAAGAGCGCAACTTAGGTAACCCTAGGTTTATAAAAGTAGGAGTACTATGTACCTTAGGTTGAACTTCCATTGCTCTTTTAGTTGATCCACAGGACCACATGATTTGTTCCGAATTACGTATGTTTGTAGTTTTAAATTGCATTTTGTCACCCATGATGCGCACCTTTGCTTCTTCAGTTGATCAAATGCTATTTAGACCTCACGTTTTTTTTGGCTCATATTCGCTAGTAGATTTTAAAGTTGATAAAATTTATAAATTTCTTATTCTAAATTAAGTTTTATTCAAACAAGAAATTAAACTTAAGTAGACCTCATCAGAGCTTAGAAAAAAAAAAAAAAGAAGAAGCATTTTTGGCCAAAAAAAAGAGAGACAAATTCTAATCAGTAATCACCCATCAAAGATATGAATATTCCCAAAAGATTAGTTAAGTGGTTTTCCTTTCACTTTCAAGTCATATTGCCTTTGAACTGTTGGGATTACTAGCAAAAGAAACAAAAGTTACATTGGCTACTGGACCACAATTTTGTTGTTAATCATGAATAACCACAAAATTAACCAAGCTTTTAACAATCAAGTAAGAAAAGGTGAGAAAATAGAGAGAAGATAATTGAGGGAGACCCTTTGGCCCAAAAAAAAAAAAATGAGGGAGACCCATGTGATGCCAAAACTATTTTAATAATCACACATTTGAAACCTTTAATAATGGTGGACCTTTGCGGCCTAATAGAATTTTAACAAGAAGATATCAAGAAGGGTTGCAGAAGGGTCCCATGGTATCATTACAAGCCATGTTCTTTAATTTTGGTTTTTTTTTTTTTTTTTTAAGAGATTATTTAATTTGAAGATTTGAGGGAACCTCCACTTATTTTGAGAGTATGTGATGAAGAGATGAGAATAGACAACCTAATGATTTAGACCTTCTAAAGGGATTGGGGAAAAGGTAAGGCAAAACCAAAGGGATTTATGAGTTTGGGAAATTGCCCTAATTACCCATTTTATTAAAGTAGAGATAATGAGTTAAACACTATTCCTCATATGATGACACATTTGGAAATCATGTTTGTTTTGGTGGGAATATGCTTGGATTTATTAGCTGTCAATAACCTCTACCTCCCAGTGATGATTTAGGTTGAAACCACCTTATGCTTCTGTTGTTTGGTAACGGTAATGATTCACGAGTGACATTTTGAAAGCTGGTTTTTTACCGTGACACAAAAGTAGTTAGAGACAAATTATCCATGCCAGAAGGAATTTATAAGTTGCTATGTTACCTTCTTCGCGACTCCTTGAGAATCGAACCTGGGTAGCAGCAAGGCTAGAAACCTTTTGATAAAGGGGAGAAATTTTAGGAGGCAATTCACTCAAATCTGGTCAAACTGGTTTTGGTGGGTGGATTACTTTTAAGGCATAATTAATCAGTCAATGTATATTCTTCCCCACTGAAGTAAACACCCACTTAGACAAAGAGCATCCAAATTATGTTGCATTAAGAATTAAAAATCTTGCTTTACTTCAAGACAGTTTGAAACTTTTTCACCTTAATTTTTTGTGGGACGAAAACACTAATGCATTCCTGGATGTTGGAGGAAAAGATAAAGACTTTACTGCATTGAAATTCCACTAGGAATCCAACCTCCTAAGCAAAACTCAAAACCATAATCATTTTGTTCTGGAAGATGGAAGCCATTGTTGTTGTTGGATGCTTTTCTATAGTCCAAAAAGAAAGAACCCTAAGTCTACATCTCTAATCATCATAAGCTCTCATTTTCTTCACCCTTTTCTTCACTTTCAAAGCTTATAATTGCTATTGTTGGCCTCTTGGAGTGACATTGGAAGACAACCCAAACACCCGTGGGTGTCCTATGAATCATCACCTTTGTTCTTCCTGGTCCTTTCCCTGATCAATCTCCACTTTCTCTTTACCGACACGGTTTCCACTTTGCACAACGATTTGAACCTAAAACCTCTTAAGACATTTGTCTATTTCAAGAATCGCGTCTAGTGGTGCAAGTGATCCAAATTCCTACTAACCCATTTGCTAGACCACATAATGCCTCCTACTAAGAATTATACATATGAATTATGACAAATGAATTGTTTTTATAGCATTTCATGACACAAAAGTACTCCTTATTGACAAAACGTAGACTCAATTTCTTGGTGAATTTTGGACCCAAGCTATTAAGACAAAAGTGCACCTGTTTCTTGGCACAGAACTATGATTATCTGAAGAGACTGCATGGTCTAAATAAGCATAACAAGGCAGGCTGGGGAAAATAAAAAATGAAAAAAGAAAAGAAGAAAAAGAAACAACAACCCATTTTTAAGTTATTTTCCTTTTGGACAGAATTTCAATGAATTTCAGGACTCAGTTACATGAACAAAAAATGTCAGAAAAGTAATGGCCTAAAACTATTCAAGAACAACAGATTCCAACAGGCATTATCTACAGCAGGATGAGCCCTATAATTCTCTGGCCCTGAAAACTGTAAACCTCCATTGTCCTATATGAGTACCACTCACCTTCCCCTAAAATCCAAATCTATTCACTAAGGTTTAGAGGACAGTCAGAAAAAATACAAAGTTCTTTAGGGGTCATATCGGTATATATATGATGCAGTTTCATGCTCTGTCGCCTCTCCTTGTCTGTTTATGTCTACAATGCAAATTATCATTTATAGCTGCTAGCCATGTGGTAAATAACAAGAGATGGTAAAAAAATGAGTGTAAGAAAATGATCACACCTTCAAAAGCAGTTCTTGCAGTTGTGACAAGCCTTGGCTCCTCAGTCCATGCGATCATGGAAATGGATGATTTTGTTGGTAAAAGGCCTCTCATGGCAATAGCTATTGATGAAAACAGAGGATGCATTAATGAATATACTTAACTGGAGTAAAAAAAAAAAAAAACAGCAATGAATTTAAGTTCAGAAAATCTCAGAGCACTGGAAGATGCTTACATGACAAAGGATGACAAGCAGAAGAAAGTGAACCCAATCAGAAAATGGATTGGAAACATTTGCCAGAAACATTCATGGTCCAGAAATAGTTTCTCAGAAATAAGAGTAGCTGCACCTGAACACAACAGAATGGTCCAACCTGAAGGCAAGCATCTGCGAAAAGAAAACGAGGAAGGATCCTGTGCAAGAAAAGGAAAACATTCTCACTATAAGGTTGATTCTGATAGCTAAAAACATTCTATGCTTACAATATTCAAAGCCATACCTAGAAATAATGCTTGATGAATACTGCAGAATAAATAATTCTCAAAATCATATCGATTTGCTAGTCAAGGAAACAGAGGCATTTGCTTCAATCTAAAATAATTGCTGTCTAATAGAAAGTGACCATTTGCGGGAACTGATAACAATGCAATTGCACCAATCCAATTATAATCACCACTTAGAAGGATGGTGCTAAATCTAATGCTCAAACAAATGTTAAAAGGACCTTGGGACAAAGAAGGACAAAGAGGAATAAATCATATGGTGATGGTCATGCAAAATAACTATAACGCCATAAGGATACTCAAAGAATTTGCAAGAATCAAACCAACTGCACCAGCTGATCATATCAATATGACATTCAGCACTATGTATATCAATGAAAATATAAGCAAAGAATCATTTGAGCATTTGAGTTGGTTCTCTGTAGCCACTACATGTAGAAATGCTTCTGAAGTTCCTGCTGCATGAAAGGGGCTGGTTGTTAGCATCATCTTAAGTAGCATTATGCATAAAAAAATATTAAAACACTAATGAGATATTAATGTCACTGCCAAATATCTAATAAGAAACGAGTAAAACAAACCATGCTGACATGTAATTGTGCTGATTAATGAGAAATATTACAGATTTCATACACAATTGTATGATGGCATATCAATAAAAATAGACGTTCATAAAGAACCACAAAGTAAACTTAGCAAGTGATAGGAAGATCAGCCAGTACATACCATTCATAGCCAAAACCATGATATAAAGACAATAATAACACAGGACAACTGAAGCTTCTCCATCACTCCATTTTTTACCATACAATAATCAGATTAGAGAATATGAGTAACTTGGGCCATAGCCAAAAATATAAGCCCTGCAAAATATAAGTTGTACTTTGAGGGTAAAATATGAAGAAGATATTACCATATGTGGAAAAACAGAAATCAGTTACAATACTTCACTGGTCAATAGGCATCTGAAAAGTAAGATTTGGTTACATAGCCACCACTTCTCAGTTTGAAGTCCCAATTATTTATAAAGAACTCAATGAATCCTTTCAATATTACAGTACCCAGCAAATATCATTATGGATTTGTCTAACTTGTGCCCTAAGGGTGTAATAAATACACCCTTTTACAATTATTTTACATAAAAAATGACAAAAGTTAACTTTTATTTTAGTGTCATTGCCATGTGGATAGTTTTAATTAGCCAATTGATTAAATTCAACTCCACTTTTGTCATTTTTTATGTAAATTAATCGTAAAAAGGTGTATTTATCACACCCTTAACCTGTGCCCTAATCATTATTAATACCATGGTAATCTATGCAATGAAATGAGGACTAAGGTCTAATTTGTTTAATTTTGAAAAAGAAAATTGATATTGAATTAAATTGTCTGAAATGAGAAAAACAACATACCAATTAGCAAAACAAGCTTCAGGGCCTCTAAGAGGCAATTTCCCAAGTTATTGTATTTGTGTTGAGACTGTCCTGTTAAGAAAGAAATATGATTATGCTGCCAGTTGCTAGATAAGTTATCCAAATATACAAGCATCAGGATTATGCATCAAAAATCAATTTCATGGATATAGTTTGACTACTAAATAGTTTATTTTTCTTTCCCTTCTTTCCCACCTCCAAAAGAAAAAAAAAAAGGGGAAAAACATCCACAAAAAAATTAAGAAATTTCTGTACAATGCATGCTTTTACTTTGAAGCAAATAATAGTCAAAACTAATTTCATGGCAGAATTTGGCCACAAGTAAAAAAAAAAAGTCATAGCAGATAACAGTTTTAAAAACCAACTTGAGTTTACCTAGCCAATTCATCTACTCAAGAGAAAAAATATTTATTTAAAAGGAAATAAAAACAAATGAATAAATATTATCCATTGAACTAAAAAAAAAAAAAAAAAAAAAAGGATAGAAGTAAGCCTGATGCAGACCTGGCAAAAGTGGCACATGAACTTTCTTCAAATGGATTAATCACCAATCTAACCACTAAGCTCCCTGAAGCCAACAGAAAGAAAAATTCAAACTTGAATGCTAGGTAAAATAATGGGTAAGATCAATTGCATTCAGTCACTTAAAATAGCAAAATTCAAAATGAATTGCTTTTATAAACATATGTACTGATTAGTTAGTTGCACATCTTAAAGCATGGGGAACCAGAACTCACCACTTACCTAATTTATCAACAAGTTCATATACAGCTTGGTTATATGGCATATCAAACCACGCAAGGACCATCTTTTCTCCTTGCAGGATTAGCTTGTGGAAGGATTGAAAAGTAAACAGCACACACATGTCCAAAAGCTGCTTATCATAATCCATGACGTTTCCTTGTCTGCAAAACTGCACATCATCCATGGATCATTTGGACAATTTAATATCCATAGCAACCAGACACTAGAAGGGTAAGAAAAGTCAATCAGTTGAGAAATAAAATCAATACTTTAAATTAATGTGAGCAAGCATTATTTAATTATCTTTAACGATTAATGAACTGGGGAAAACACAACATATTGAAAAGGTTGACAAGGTGATAAGTAAGAGCTATCACACGAAATAATAATAGCCAGTTCATGAGAAGAAACTGGAAAACAAAGTCAGAGAGCAAAGTGCTAGGATGACCAAGAGAACCTCAGGATCCTGCTATGCCTTTATATATGCGGAAAACTACAATCTCAAAGCCTTGACTTTCTTCTTTATTTATTGTTTGAGATATTATTTGCTGGGGCCCTAAAGAGGGGGGTTTAAAAGTTAAAGCATAAGCACAAACAAGAAATTGCTGCAAAAATGAATTAATACCTGAAAGGAAAAATATCAGAAATTTTAAGTGCATTTTGGAGTAGAAAATAAGACCAGTAGCCAATGAACAAGCTTGCTCCATGTGCAGTTTGTGATAGTGCAAAGACAATTCCTTTCTCCTGAAAGAAACAGGTCAATTACAAATAATTAATAGCTGACTAAATATTTTGGTAAAAAATTTTGGGGAAAAGTCTTACATTAAGCCCACAAAAATCAAAACAAAAGTGACAGTGTTTACCCACATCATAAATTTTCATTAGTTGTTGAAGATAATGCATGTCTAGTACCACTAACTCAATTTGAAACATGAAAGAATAATGATCAACACTGTAATCAATTAAAGAATTAAGTTAAAACATTTACCATGTCCGTGTGATGTGCAATGAGAATGTACATTGTTACACATCGTGAAAATGTAGCTGCAGTTTCAACCATTAAACGCAGTTTGAGAAGAAGCATGGTTTGAGAAAGGATAAATAATGGTTCTGCCAATAGCTCCAAGATGCATGCCCAGCCTGCCACACATCACAAACAACCTTATGAATTGAATTATTTGTCCAAGCATAAAGCTATGATACATATCACATTAAATCCAACTCCTAGATGGATCTCTTTGATCAATTTTAAAGCCTTAAATCTGCAGCTTTTCAGAAATATCTTGTGGCCAAATGTTTCTAAAAATCTAGTCACACCAAAAGCACAGCGCGTTTCTTCTTATCCAAAAGTAATGCAGCTTGCTTAAGATTGAGGCCACTAGACATGTGAATAAAGCCATAGCCTCACAATGCATATTAGAAAACACTGAAACAGATGCTAGGTGCCTTAGAAAAGAAAAGGGCGGGCTGACTTCAAGTTGATACATTTTAAAACATCCAGACTAGAGGGCCACAAACTAAATAAAAACAGTGATATAACAACAATTCAAGAGTAACTAGAAAAATAGCATTTGTCATAGGTTGACATATTTAGAAATAAGAAGTCCTGGAAGCACTAGCATACTAGAAAGTCTGGAAGCAGCTATAGCATGATACCATTAATCAAAATAACTTGCACATATGGGTCTGGATAACTTAGTCCTTGCCACCAGAAGATGAGAAAGCAAGCCGCAGCCGTAACAACTACAGCTAGTGGGAGAGTTATCCAAGCTACTTTCAATGATTTTGCAGCATTTTCCAATGTTGAAGAACAATCACTCCAGCATAACACATGAGATCAGAATTCTAAGCATAAACAAACATACCATATATTACAAAGTTTCCTAAACAGTAGCACAGCATATAGCTAAAACATGGGCGGCTTTCTGTTCTGTATCACTAAGTTTAATGGTGACCAGATAAGAAATCATCTAGATTGATGCAGGCAGAAACCAAATTGCTTGCACCTTGCAGAAAATTGACATTGATAATATCTAACCATTCTCACAGAATTTCATTTAATCACATTTTGCAATGAATTTCAGTAGACATTCTCCTCTAAGTTTTCAACACTTGGATAATGTATTAAAGCTAAAATAACTAGATTTTTTAAATCTATTGCTGAAAATCAATACTTCTTATATAACAGAACTAATTGTTGCATGATCATGCCTATAGAAATTCAAGTTGCTTCAAACTGGCAAAGAAGACAAGCAAAAATTACTAGAAATAGGCAGTGTCAAAAAGAATATAACTGAATCAAATACTAGGTTGGCGAATCACCATTTAAGATCTGCACGCATGCAAGCTCAACGAAACTCCTCACGACTAAGAAAGACAAATGTGACAAACAGATGGAACTGAACTGCGTAAAGCTGCAATTGGGGGGTGGGGGACATCAACAAAACTGTACAATTCAGTTAATGATCATAAAGAGGCAACTATGGAGTAATGAATATATCGAATGAAAAAACAAGGGGGTTAATATTTACATATTGCAGGCAATACCGCATAGTCCTCCTCAGTGAGGTGCCTGACGATCCATGAATTGAATATGAATGGAATTCCTCTTGACAAGAACTGTGTGTAGCTAATATCACAAAATAAAACCAAAATCAAATGGAATCAGAAGAAATACACTTCACAAGAAATAAGGTTACATTTTACTGTATTTTCTCGGGAAACAAACAAGAGAAATGCTCGAAAGTGAAAGAAAGAGGAGAATGTGCTAACCTAGTAAGTACTTGAAAGTACGAGATAGATTTGGTCGGTCACCATCTGCCGGCGTTTGGGATTTGATCGGTTGAAGCTTTAGCCATTTCGAACTCGGATCCAATTCGAAACAGAATCGTGAGAAATAAAAACCTAATTGAGAGCAGAAGATCAGAAACAAAAACAAAATATTTTGAAAATTTTCGATTTTAAATTTCTTTATCAACGTGGTTGCAATTCGTTTTATTTTAACCCGGGAAGGATCTTCCTATCGGTTTGGCGGCTTGTTGGTCTGAGCGGTCCTCGTTTTTAACTTATTTTATTTTAAAATATTTATATAACAACGAAGTAAATTAGTGTCCATTTTTTTTCTGTTGAAAATAAAAAGATTTTAATTCAAATAGCATGTTATATAAGTGTAGTGAGATAAAAAATAAAAAATTATTACCCTTATTATATAATTAAGATAAAAAAAAAATTATATAGGATGATGATAAACAACAGATTTTAAAACATTCAAAGATAATTATTTAATGATGTAAGGTATACTAAGTCATTGGTTAAAAAAAATGTACATTATTTATTTATCAAAAAAATAATTTTTAAATTAGATCGTAAAATTATTTAAAAAAAAAAACTGAATGACTAATAGTTTATACCGTCACATTATACATCACAAAATATTATAAGTATAAAATTATCTTTTTTTTAGGTAACAAAAAAGTGTAGTATACGCATCAGCCCTTTCTAGTCAAGTAACTTTCGAGTTGCTTTGCAGGTGCATTGCCCCCCCACGTTCAAAACCCACCTTTATCAACTTGTTCAAAAAAAAAAAAAAAAAATGTAGCATACAAAAATCATTACGCAAACATAGAGAGCCATTTTTCTTTTTTGGATTTGGCCTACTAACATACAAGCTACTTATGCAACCAATGGTAATAATAATAATACTTACAATTTCAAGTTTTTGTTTCAAAAAATTTTGGTGTAACCAGTAAAACTCGCCTTATATTATTGTTTTGAATTGATTCTGTTTGTAATTATTGGTAAAGTTTCAATAAAGCCTTAAATGTATTTGACAACAAATAGAAAATATCACATCGCTTTGTTGCCTAAACATTGACAAAGCAAATCAACAAAACAATTAGGGCATGCACATCAACCAGAAGTGAAAAATTGATGATCAACAACCAGAGAGAACAGAAAAGGAAAAGGAAAATTTCAGGTTCAACAAGTACCAAACCCAGCGGCCTCATCACAGCAAATTTAAACATATTTGTTCAAACTAGTACCGTCTCAAAGTATGCAATCCTACAACAAAGATAACAATAACAAATAATAAGACCAAAACTTTATCGGTAGCGGCGGAGGGAAAGAGTGTTGTTCCTCTTCCAGGTTGCCCTTCTCGAGGGTCTGGCCTTGTGGTGCGAGTGTCCCTTGCCACGGAGACCCCTGTACTTCTTGCCAGCAGAAGTAAGACCACGGAGCTCCCTGTGTTTGTGAACAGGATTGCAGATCCAGTTGATCCTAGGATCATTCCTGATAGCATTATGGGCAGGATCAACCAAGATGATCTCATAGTATTTGTATGTTGAATCCTGCACGAGAAACCCAAAAGCATGATGGATGAATAGATCTTCAGCTGGTTGACACCCTGAGGTGAGTTATCTAAAATATAACGAAGTGAACTGACACATCTTACAAATTGCTAACAAATAAGTCAACAGCTAGAAGAAACATCACAAGCACAAGCAAAACAAAAGCAGATGTTCCATTGTAAGATATCCAAATGAATGAATAGCCTTTTCACAAGAACAATAAATAATTCCCGGTATAACTCACCTCATTGATCCAGTATGAGTTCAAAACCCTAAGGCCACCTAGCTTCCTTCCAGCTCTCTCCTCTGCAACTGAACGCTTGCTCCTCTGGAACTTCAGCTGGGTGACACCCTGATTTGTAGGTTTGCCATACACAATACCCTTAGGAACTGGCCTCTTCCTTCCACCACGCCTCACACGGACACGATAGACGACATAACCCTGTTAAAGAGTAGTTTATAGTCACAAGAAGTAAAGTTGTTTTTAGTCTTTAAACCCATAATTACATAATCCTGGAAACAATCAATTTTAGTGACCCAAAATAAAAGGTCATGGAATACAATGTGGCAATTGATATAAATAAGCAAATTAAGGTAACACCAGATCACCATAAAATTTGAGAAGGCTTTAATCAACATTATCAAATCATAATCTTCAAAATGGTTAAATAAGTACAACACAATTATGACAAATGATGTGCATAATACATAGATGCATTATCAATCAAATAATAAAAAAGTATACTCAAAAAATTAAAATAAATCATAGGTAAGCACCCATGTTTAAAGAATCAGTTTACCTGCTTGGCTTTGTAACCCAGACGACGAGCCTTGTCAGGGCGAGTTGGACGGGTAAGACGGACGATGGAAGGGTGCTGGCGATACTCCCAGCATCTCACCCGCTGCAAAAACCTCATGACATCCGACTGCTTCTTCCTCCATAGCTCCGACACATACTTGTAAGCCCCTAATTTCACACAATCCCAACAAAGCAAAATCATAATATAACCAGATCCAACAGCCACAAACACAATAAAAAGGCAATAACACCCCGTTGCATGAACCACGAAAAATAAAAGCTTTCCCTCACTTTGAACCACCCAACAAGCAAAGCAATTTTGGTATATTTTCCGCGATTTTCTCATCAACCAAACATCCTCACATTTTCAGATTGCATGAACCACAATACATGAAATCAAGAAACGCATCATCCTAAGTAAGAGCTTAAGATCGACAAATACATGAAACCAAGCATTAATTCATCGGATTGACAATTTAAAAGAAATCAATTCAAGAACCAATCGCGAATTAGATCATTGGAAATAAGAAGCGACGAGAAATGCGTACCCATTTTTGGAAGTGCTCCGGCGGTCTCTCCTTTGGGGTAAGGGGGCGGCTGCAAGTGGTGTTATATGAGCTCGTAATCCTTGTTAGGGTTTTAGAGAGTGCAGAAGATGAAATGACCCATTTACCCAGACTTCTATTTTGAAAATATGTTTTGGATTTCGTTGGTAGGAAGGTGGGTTACAGAAAGCCCAAACGTGGATTATTTGGGCTAAGCCCTAGATTCTGAGTTAATGGGCTGGACTAGATATTTCCTAAATTATAATTTTGAAATTTTCTACTTAATAAATAAAATCCCCCAATAATAAATGAGAATGCACGAGACCGCAACATTATGTCTACAATAACTATTTACTAATAATAAATTATGTTGATTCATTGATAATCAAGTATTATCTTGTAAGTAAAGCGTAGGATTCAAGTTTTAGGATTAGTATTTAAAAAAATTAATATTTTTAAATATACTAGGCCAATAATTTTTTTAAATATATCAAGTCAATATGAGATGCTTTTAAAGATTGCTAAAAAATGTAATAATTTGAATGTGTACAAAAATTAAAAGATATCTATTGTCTCCCGTATCTCATTTTCTTGCTGCATGACAGATAAGACTACAAAAACATACCACTTACTTTACTCAAAGTGAGAAAAAAAAGATTCTCAGTAACCCTCACTATTTCCAAACATGGAACTCAGTTGCGAGTTAATAGAAGAGTACCAGTTAAATAAATTATAAGATACATATTAGTCAAACAATTGTCGTAGAAACGGAATGCATTCTTACATAAAGATTCATAAATAATTATTTTGAAAGAACATTAAGTACTTCTCATCTTGTGCCAAAATGTTAGTAAACTAATCAAAATAAAAGAGAAAAATAAGGGAAAAGAGAAGAAAAAGAGTGCATGGCAAAAAAACTAAATTGTAGAAAGGAAGCGTGATAGCGTTGTGAAAGCATAAAAGCATAAAAAATGAAATAAAAGCTAAAATATAAAACTAAATTTAAAAGAATTTAGGAAGATGAATTTAAAGTAAAGTGTAATAAATTGAATTACATGAAACTAAATACATCAGTAGAGATATTGACAATAAAATAACAAAAACTAGAGTTAAAACTAATGACAGTATACAGCTAAAAACTAAACTATGAAAACTGTTTAAGAAAGCTAGATATAAATTAAGATATTTCTTGTGAAATTGAAATGTAAATAGCATTGGGTTAATTATGTGAGAAGCAGGTCTTGTTTAGTTTCTTATCCACCTATTTATAGTAATAAACACTCCTTAACAGCATATTTGACATTTGCATCAGTATCTTGAAAACCAACAGTATGGAATCTATAACAAATTAATTAATCTGTTGGTACCATCAATTATGCTTTTGAAAATTTACAACAAATGAATGACTTAGCAGCATATTTGAGATTTGCAACAATATCTTGAAAACTAACAATATGAAATTTATAACAAATTGATTAATCTATTGGTACCATCGATTACACTTTTGAAAATTTACAACAAATGAACGACCTTATTAATGTTATAGAAACAATTGTTGAACCTTACCTATAAAAATTTACATCAACAACTTTTCAACAAACAAAAATTTTCAAATATGAATCACATATGTCACAATTCTATTTATTATAAAAAAAGAAATCTAATGGTAAATATAAAAAAAATTAATAATAACAAATTTATAATATGGTCAATCTTTAAAAAATTGTAATGTGATAACAATTTTTTTTATGGGCATTAAGTATAGCGACTTACGGTTACGAGTCAGTGTTACATTTCTTAAAGAATCCAACTTGAGTATTCTAAAAGGGTTTTTTTTTTTTAATTAAAAAAAATAGAGGAGTATTCTCAAAAGTTACCATAATGTCCGTACATGTAATGTGTTGTGTTGTCAACTAGTAAAAGCTGCCACACCTAACACCGCGGCCCTTCGATAAAGTGGTATTAGCCACTTTAATAAGTGCATCCTTTGAGAAAAATAAAAAAATAAAAAAAAAATAAAGCTGCCAATCTTACCATTGGTTGCAAGCTCTTTGAGTATCTTATACTCAAGGTTTATATCTAATAATTCTTTAAGAATTAAATTTTTACTGCTAAAAATTAAGGACAAATTTTACAATTTGGTGTTGAAAAACGTTTTAGGAAAAAAAATCGATCAAATCATTGAACTAATTAAATGGAATTAAAAGGATATATAAGGAATACAACTTAGACTTTCCTTGCCACAAATCCTTGTGCTAGCGTTTTAAGTTGATGTAGAAAAAATGTACCATTCTCAAATTCTTGAACCCATTTGTCTTTCCCTAAATGAACAACTTGAAATCATAGTGTTGACTAATTCGTATAGCCCACCCTAATGACAATCATAATCCTATTACCCTTCTTTGCTGTCATGTAATTTTTGAGGTAATATTGCCTTGTTTAAGATGCAGCTCATTCATGGGTGCTGTCGTTTATGTGACTCTCAATGAAGCCTGCAATTTCTTTCACATTGTGGCCCTTTAATTAATTCTTTATTCTAAATAATTAGCCAAAATTGACTATTGAAAAAAGGCAAATGACAAAATCTAACGAGTTAAATCAAAAGTCCCATGCATTTGGTCTTTTCAAGTTTTTTTTTTTTTTTCCATAATGGAAGACAAAAGATTTTTATCTCTTAATCTATCTCATTTATTTATTTATAAGAAAATAATTTAGGTATATTTTTTTATATTATTTTTAATAAAATTTTTTATGTCATTTAAATTATTGATAATTTTTATTTATTTAAAATTTGTAATATTTAGTACATCTACTTATTAAATGAGCTATGAGAGTTGTATAAAAATATTATACAAAAAATTATCTCAATATTACAACCTTTATTAATGTATTATGTAATTTGAATTTAAATCTCTTATTTTTATTAAAAAATTTATAACTAAATTATATAAATTATTAACCTTTTCAAGTAAAATGCTACTTCATAAGCTATTTTTAGATATTATTGTTGGGGTTTAGTCTATTGAGGTAAAAAAATTTCTCAAAAATGTTATGCTCCAATCATGGACCTCAAGAACGTTAATTTTTCAAGAAAGTGCAACTTTAATAGATAACAATTTCTAGGAGTAACGGTCCTAAACTATTTGTCAATGGAATACTTCAAAACGAAACATTTCCAATTGTGGCAATACAAGTAAGCACATTACAAATTGTAGAGTGCATTGCATTCCTTATTTTGAGTCCATTAAAACATGTAATTATTGTAGTAATTGTTTGTATTTAAATGTGAAAGATGTATTCCCCATACGTATAAATTTAAATATTGCTTTACGCCAAATTAAGCATGTGGAAATTCAAACCAAGAAGAAATAATAAACCTAAAAATTTAATATTATTACGCCACACTACCAATTTTGGACTTTAATGGTTGAGTAAGAATTGGGGCGTTGAAGAAAATATTATTTAAGTATGTGGGGTCCTGTAAAAGTTAAACTATTATTGAGGGATCACCCCAGAATCCGCTTTAGAGTTGATTGGAGGACTTAAATTTAGAGAAATTTTCACCTTCGGGCCCAAACTCTCCTCCAAAGCTTCAAAAGGCACAAGAACAAAACACAATGTCTGGATTTACAGACGCACCAAAATCTGCTTAGATTTTATACCTTGATAAAGAGAAAAAGGCTAACAAAGTGAAGAGGCAAAACCCAGAAAACATAGCATAGGACTCTATGTTCAAGGGAGGCAACGGCATGGGAGGAGGAGGAGCAGGAGGTGGAGGCATGTTCAGGACAGTTGGGAGGGTGGCTACAAGGGCCAGAGTTGCCACAGGGAAAACCACTACTAACCCAGAATCCGTTTCTTCTTCTTCTTGTGTTTCTCCGACTGCTGCTTCTGGGGATGCTGCACAGAAGCAAAGCAATCAACTTTTTATATCTGCTTCAAGCTATAGCTTTGGTGGGAATGTTCCGAGAAGTTCCAATCCTGGCGTGCCCTCTAGTTGGTCCGCTTTTGTTGCCTCTCCCACCTCTTCGTGCTGTGATGAGTTTGATTGGGATGCCTTGGATGGGGTTGAAGATGAGATGCCACTTGGGTTTAATGATGCTATTGGCCCTGTTCCTTCCCCTGATGAAGTTCAAACCGCTGTCTCTGCCCTTCAGCAGTAAGATTTCTTTTATATGTTTCTTGAAAATTGTTCTTTGTTCCTGTGGTTTTGCTTTGATGTTGGTTTCAATTTATTTCCAGAATTTTCTGTCTTGGGAAAATGAAGTTCTTCTAAAGTGTCCTAGGTTAACTGGGGCAAGAAATTGCTTTTATGCATTATTGTTCATTGGGATGCATATTTTGGTCTGGTGTTTCTGTACCTGATATTGCTTGTGCTGTGTACTAGTTGCCTCTTTTCTTTTTTTTTTTCTTTTTTTTTTCTTTTGGAGCAATTCATTCAGAATTGTTGTAATATTGGAGGTTGTGGAATAACTGGAATGTGTTAAGTGATGGTGATAGGATTTGGTTAATAGTTTAGTTTACCCGACAAGTAAATTCCTTGGGTTTGTGTTGTTGAGCCATAAGTATATATTATTTAATCTCACAATCAAGGGTTTTATAATAGGCATGATTGATGATGGTGATGGGAAACACAATAATTTTTTGTGAGGTTAACTCAATACCTATCATGATCTATAACCTATTAAGATACATTCATGTGAAGTTTTGAAGCACAAGAAAGATTGAATAACAAGATGATTTTTATCTAGACTAATTGCCATTTCATTGTAGAAGGAACTAACATTATGGTCATTATCTATAATTTTGGGTAAGATAAGTGTGCAAGACTTAAAGCCTTAAAATATAAGAAACTTGGTGTTTCGATGTTAAGCTGTAGTTGTTTCCATGATAACAATGATGAGTGTTGCTTCATCTGAGGTGAACTGAGGATTCATGGAAGAACTAAGATACCTAATCATTTTTACTTGGTCATTCTGGAAAATAGAAAGAAGTTTGTTCATTTTGCTAGTGGTTTTACACTTTACAGGAATATAGACTAGGAGTCTACGACTAAGGAAATATTCAGAACAGGATTGCTTCAATGTCACTTAAGGAAAAAATAAAAAAAATGGAATTGGAGGTTCAAGGATAGAGGTCTTAGGCATATATTTGGAGTGGTGTCTTCAATGTAGGGTCATGCTATCTTTTCCTCTGTTACTATTTTTTTACCTTAGGTCTAGAATCAAGTACGTAAGACTTATTTTCTGAAAAGCATAGAGAATAAGGTCTTATCTGGTTCAACATTGTTTCTATTAGGTTTAAAGTGTTATATCCATTTTTTTTTTCCCATGAGTATTAGGCCTTCCAGCTTTTAGATTTTTAATTTCTTTTTTTTATCAGCGTTATGTTGTTCCACCAATTGAAAGGCATTGCCCCCCGTTGTAATATTTGGGGTTGGCGTTCAAACTTGAGACTTCTCTTGAAGATTCATAATTTGATTGATGAAAAATAGCTGCTATTGTTAACTGGTTTTAGAATTGCAGGGTTGTTGATTACCCCAAGCTTGTCAGGGATAAATATTCCTATAATGCGGGGAAGGATGTAGTAGATCCAACTCCAAGTCCAACTGGCTTGTTACATCGAGTTTCTTCAGTTGGGTCAGACATAGATTGGATGGAGCCTTCTGTGCATCTCTATACCTCAAGAGTGTTGCATCCATATGGATCAAACAGAGTTTATGATGCTTTCCATTTACTGCAAACTGACCCATGCATTCAGGTGCCTTATAATTTAACTGTTGCATGGTCGCAATAACTAGCCACCTTTTCAGTTAGTTTATTGCAGCTTCATATATTTTCTTAGAGACAATACCTGCAGCTAAGTAGATCAATTTGGGAATATGAATATGACCACTAAAAGGAAGGAAATAGGCCCTGCTCTTAAAAGGTTAAACCTTATGTTTAAAAGGGAACTGGAATACAAAATTCTATGGTTTTATTTTCTAAATCGAAATTGTATAAAGATTCAATTTATCTGCTTCACTATTTCTGCGTTTGTGGGAATTTTTTTTCATTAAATTCATGTGGAATCTTTAACTTTTCGGCAGAAAATGGTGATTTCATTGTCTTCTGATAAAGCTGTTTGGGATGCCGTTTTGAACAATGAGGCGGTGCGGGAGCTGAGGAAGTCATATTATGCAGGTTTGTTTAGAGTTCTCTGCACATATATGAAATGTATATTATTTAATAGCATTATCTAATGATATCTATAATGATTACTACTGGAAAATATCCGTTCACGTTTGTGGGCTGTTTACCATAGAGTTGGTATTATGACTTGATGGCCAATGTAGTCCTCTTTCCTAGAACCAACTCCAACGGTCCAACCACAAGACTGTTCTTTAGAGTGCACCTAACCAATTTCACAGTTTCCTTGAAGTACAATTTCAAGTTATCATCATCTAATATTCTGAAGCATCCAAATGTTGAATGGGTTTTTCAGGTTTAACTAATTGTAGCTAAGAGTTTCTGAGACTAAGTGCATTCTTAAGAGTTAAGACAAATTAATAGGAACTTGATAGACATCTTTTCACACAACTTGAAATCATTAATGCATCTTTCCTTGCCAAGGCATGTGGCATTCGTGAGACTCACTGCAGTGTTTAACAAAGTTCCATTTTCTTCTTAAAAAGTGTGTCTGTGTGAGAAAGAGGGGGGTGGGGGTAGATAACTGTTCTTAAGAAGTGTAAATCTAGATCCACTTTTGGGTAAAGAAAAGATAATTCTATCTAGCTATGGGGTCAAAGTGGTCTGCATGTAGCATTTGAAGAAATTTTACATTATCATTCCCGTTGTTCCTTATCTCTTCTTCATGTTGAGTTGAAGAAAGGGTTCATGGAAGAGAATCATTGCTTGTGAGAGTCTGGGCAATAAGCCATGACATAGAGGGCTTAAAACTGATTATTCACTGGTGATCTTGCTCTCATAATCTTTAGAACCGTTACGATTGTTACATTGAATAAAGTCACCATCTTGGGAAAGAGCCATGGCCATGGAAAACCATAAGCTTTAGAAATACATTAATTAGTTGTTACCAATTACCATGATATGTAATTTCAATGATAAACGCAGCTGAGGATTCTGACGACCCCAATAGAGCAGTGAATATTGTGAAGTCGATTTTTGACAACACCAAGGCAAAGGTCATGGAAGTTATGGAGAAAATAACAAAGATTGTAAATGAGTTATTTAGGCCTCACCCTCCTGAACATGAGAAGGCAATAGCAGGAACTACAGATTCATTCGACGAAAAGCTGAGGACATCATTCTTGCTATCAGTTGTGGTCCTGTTGATTGTGGTTGTTTCTCGAGCCCATAAGGCTTGACTATAATTTGTTGACATGACAGGTTTGTGCAAATCCCATTCGCCAACTTGTATCAGACTCAATCCCCAGCAGGGTTGAACTAATGTTTTAGACTTTTGGTTAAGTTATTATTCCCAAAGCAATGTAAATAACTGCATCTTCTAGCTAAATTATTGCTTGTAAATATAATATCCAGTCAGCATTGCTATACAGTTCTAGTCTTGTGTTAGCTAAAATCATGGTTCATATACATTCCCATTCAGGGTACAGCTTCCCTGCCATGCTCAAATCTTTTAAGAATTCTTTTAACTCTTTCTTCTAGATGATCCTGAACTCTGATTTTTTCAGAGTGATACCATTCTCTGTTTCTTTTCAGACAATCTCGAGTCATTCACAGAATTTAGGAGGGAATCAATATCTGGAGTAACAACTAGCCGTTTCACAAGGTTTCCAATGTTGCAGAACTGCTTCTCTTCGGTATTGATGGCAGCAACATTCTGGGCAAACTTGGTATGCAAACCAGGGGTGACCTGTAAATCATTTATGCAAGTATAAGTAAACGAATTGTGCATAAACAAATGTCCACAAGAAAATAAACCGGATCAAGTTCTATGAAAGGCAAGCAAATTTGGGCATGCATGGATTGTGGCTAGGATAAAAAGAACTCATTCAACAACTGTGGAAATGCAAAGCAAATAGACATGCTGTGTGACCACAAGATCGCGTTGTCCAGTTTAAAGCAGGACTGGTACTACTGGTATATGACTTACATCATACAGTGTTTCCCCCAGCTTCAACTTAATTTTGCCACTCTGGTAAACCAGCATTTTCCCCATGTATCCCGCAGGCATCTGTTCCAAGTCAGAGCACTTCTTTACAACCCCTGAGCTATCAGCTTTCTCTTTTCCCTTCGTGTTCGCTGACGACTTATCTAAGGGTAGCTGAGGAGGAAGCTTAAAAAAAAGCAGCACTGGTTCCCCACAAACCTCCTGTTAGCAATAACCATTTTGATTAAACAATGAATGCCATTAATATAGCTGGTGCAAAGAGAGGAACAAAATATTCTAAATCTTATAAATCTAATCACCAACCAGCAGATCAAGCTCTTTAGCAGCATTAATAGTGTTCTCATCATACTCCGCCTTTGTTGCATCTTCCCCAAACTCTGCCTCATCAAGAACCTCTACAGAAGAAACAAGGAAGCCATCTAAGATGAGTTAAATAACTGAAAATGACATGATAGAAATAATTATGATGATGCCTTTGTACAAATTGTTGAACAATATTCTCTTTAAGGCAAACTTCATTCATAGAATGAATATATAAAAATATATTATCTCAAACTTCAGTAACCACTGATGCTAGTTCCTTCTAATTTTTTGCGGACTACTTAATTTTCTGGTCTTCAGGCTTGATATCAAGGCTAGCTACGCATCCAAACTCCAGATGACAAAATGGATCGTCAAGTGTTCATGAAAAAACTATAATTCAAGAAATTCGAGCTGCTTTCTCTACAAAACCAAGTCTACAGTCTTTTCAGAGTAAATCGCCTCCTTACAAATTGGTGCACCCTGGCAACAGTTCCAACATGCTCCCAGAAAACTGAATAGCTACTTCCAGAAGGGGGGAAATAGTGAAGAGTAGCAAGATCACCTAGATATAATCAGGTATCCAAATGGATTTTTTCATCATCAATGTTGTTGAATGTTCAATTAATTAATAATAGCCCTGATATTTGATTTAATGGCAAGCTAGAACCAGAAATCTCTTTCTGAGAGACAAAGTACCAGAGATACTTCAGGAATTGCTTGTTTCTAGGTGGAGATTACAGCATACCTGGGTCACAAGAGTCGGGTTTTCTCAGAGGAAGAGTGATGGGAGGATAACCAGTATTGAGATCCTACAGTGCCATCATAGGAAACAAAATTTTAGCTTAAGGCAGACACACCCACCAAGGGGCATAAATGTTTGCATCACTCACCCACCCAAACCCACAGAGAGAGAAGTTACCCAAGGTTCCCTGTATTCTTTCTTGGTATTTGGTGCCGATTCATAGCTACTATCTGATGAGAATCCATCACTTTCATAGTGCAAAGAACTAATACCATTGAATTGCCTGTTACAAGCAGCAGAAATGTTAGTCGCAGAGCAAGTTTCTTTAGCATCCCCAGCTCTTTGAGAACCAAATGTCCTTATTAATTCCGACGAAGACTCAGCACCAGGGCCAAATGCAACTTGAGCTGAAGCTGGACAGTCGAATTTTGAACATCAGCAGGAGCATCCTACTAAGAATAATAACGTCAATAAACTTAAAATTCAGTCATCTTGATTATCTAGTTTTGGCAACACAAATCTGCTCAGCCAGTCAAGTAACCCTAGGGCAAATGATCTCATCTCACTAGTCACTTAACCATATAAATGGCACCATGCTGTTTCAGCAGTTATGAAATATCAAAGATCTGCTATAGTTCTGCAAACTTAACACTACTAATTTACTATTCACATGCTCAATGCTTATCTCTAACACTTCAAATCCTTTAATAATTTATTATTAGATCTTATTCATTTTGTGCCTATAACAAGATTCTGAAGATCCGCATTCAGGTCCTCAAGATTATTTTACTTACATTTCTTTTCAACTTTAGGTCTTTGTAGCCCCTGTATATTCTGTAAAAGCAACAACAAACAAATGAATTAACTCCATGCCACCATGACTATGTATAATTTTTGGATAAAATAGCATATGCAGTCAGAAAGGAAACAGGAAGAAGAATATTTCTTTAAAATTAGTAGTTAGTTTGTGGAGACTGTGACATGATTCTGCAAAAATAAGGCAGAAGATTGAAGCAAAAAGTAGGCCTCTTATAATTTTTTATTATAACAAACATAATCATAATTAGAAAAACAAGAGGTGAGAGAGAAATTAAAATCATAATGTGATTTCTAATGACATAGCACACTGCACAGCTTTCCCAACTGCAGCCATCACAGCACACAGCAGAGGTGAATTCATTAATAATAGGGATAATAAAACATTTTCTAGCAAGAGAATCTAACCGTTCTAAACCACTAACTTATTGATTGAGATCCACATGGTCCTCAAATGTTCAAACTCTAGTTATCAATAAATTCGTTTTGAAAGTTACATACTACACTCACAATCCTACATTTTTTCAGATGTGGGATTGAGACATCACAATGAGAAGTTCAGACCCCATCACTACATCACAATGAGAAGTTCAGACCCCATCACTAAATACTATACTAACATATTGATTCATCACCAGAATTTTCATTTTAACCTAACAAACTTGCATTTTATATTCATGTCACTCGAACTAAATTAAGGCCTCCAAAGGTGTCTTAATAGATAGGAGTTTGAGACGCGGGTCTCATATTCCAACCCAAAACTGGAGAAGAGATATTGAGAAAGGGAAGAGTTAATTGACAGTTATTGGAGAATAGGAGGGCTACCTGTTGTATACTCCAAAAGAGGGGAAATTCACCGATCACCATTAATCATTATGTTCAGTAATTCAAAAAAGGTGTTCTTCCAGTTCGACGCACCCTATGAATTTATTTACTAAAATATCTTTTATAAATATCTTCTATATGTTATTTTATTAATAACATTTTAATCATTGAATTTTTTTATTTTTGTTCTCTTAAAATAAGGTTGTATTTATTATATTTTTTATTATTAATATACATATTAAAACTAAAAATTAATATTAATTTTATCAATAAACTAATACAAAATATTCATGCATCATAAATGTTAAAATTAATAATAATTTTTTTATTTTTCTATGTAAATTAATACATAAAAATTACATTTAAAACTCATTTCCCTGCACCCTTATAGCACAGGCTTCACAAACCCTTAATCATTTTAATATTCAAAAAATTACAGTTTAACTTAAAAAAATAATTTCTTATAATAATTTTGAGATTGAATTGGATATTGGTTCATTTTTAAAATGAATCTCAATATTTAAAGTGTGAAAATATTTTAAATTTTATTTTTCTCAATAATTATTATCTTTTTGTTAAACTGCCTGTATTTCAATCGTTTTCCTTAACAAATTCGCGCGAACCAAACACGCCCTTTACTCTCTGTTTTTTTTTTTCTCCGCTAATTAAGTACAATATAAAATCGTGAAAGAAAACAGAGCTTTAAACACTGAGAAAAAGAAGAAAATAGTAGTAAAAGAAGACGATAAGGATGAGTTTATATAAACGTACATTGAAACGTGCGATGAGATTTCTGGCGTCTGCACCTTCTGCATCTCCATCACCTTTCTCACTGCATTTGCGACAACGAAAATCGTAATAATTCTAGAAAGACTATCCGAGGAGGTCGCGAAATCGAGGAAGAAAAAGAAAGAAAGTGTGGGGAGAATTACGGTTTGGGAGCAGAGGGCTTGCGGTTCCGTTGAGGAGCTTTAGGAATGAACCGATGCTGCGGAGAAGTAACCAAATTAGTAAGGGAAATTTTGCAGAAAATTTTTATCAGTTTAGGGTTTCCAAATGCGACTGTGGAGGAACTCGACGAAGAAAGTAGAGGAAGGAAGTGGATATACTACCTTTCTGGGGCTGCGATTCATGGTGAGTTCACAGTTTCTCGTTGAAGATGACGAGCAACAACGCCGGAAAATCGCCGGTGAAAAAACTGGTAATGAGAAAGGCGAGTAGAAGGAGTCGAACCTTAGACCATGGGTTAGCTTAGAAAACACGCTACCACTTGACTTATAAGAAGCAGACGTCTAAGTGTGCCGATAAAATAACTATAATCGTTTCTTTGTGAATGGTGTATCACAGTATAAGTCATTAATTATTTTTTTGAAAATAGGACCTACCATTACAGAGAATTCAGTTCCAAAATTTTAAATAATAATAATAAAAAAAACTGGTCAGATTTTTTTTTTCTTTTTATTATTTTATAATATGTTTAAGTTGAGGTAAATAAAATGAAGAGAAGGAGAAAGAAAGAAAAAACATTTTTTTATTTAATTACCAAAATAATTAAAGAAAAACAGAAAGAAATAAAAGGATATATATTTTTTTCTTTTATTCTCCTTAACTTGAATATACGGCTATTATATAACCCAAGCGTTACGTTTTCAGCTAAATGAGTGACATTTTATAAGTTAACTACAAAATTTAAGTTAACCAACAATTAAAAAAAAAACAGTTTTTTAAGAAAAAAAAAGTTTTTTAAATACACGAGGCGAATTAGGTATAAGATTGTTCCGACAAAAACAAAATTAAGCTTAAAACAGATTACCTCAAGAACAACTTAACAGTCCCAATTTTTAATTAAAAAAATGATAGAACAGGCAAAGTGGTGTTTGAACTAGAGATGTCAACGGCTTTTGCAGAGTCCCTACCCATTCCCATCTTAGCAAATGGTGGGGATGGAGATCATCACAAGGATTTTTAATAGGGTAGATTTTGTTTCACATCCCAATTCCTTACAAATTAATATCAAATATAAATTTTTTTACATATAATTAATTAATATTCAATTATAATAAATAAAATTTTAAAAATTTAAGTATAATTAACTAAAATTTTTTAAATATAAAATCAAATATAAATTATCTAAATATAAATAAAAATTAATTTAACATAAATAGCTAAAAGGTTAATGATGGGTTGGTTTGGATTGAATTGGGTAAATTTGGGTTAAGTTTAATTTTTATTGAATTGGATTTGGATTTGAATGTTAAATTAAATTTAAAATAAAATTAATTTACAAATTTTTTAAATTTTTCACGGGGATAAGGATATCCGTAGGATGGAGAAAATTCTTTACGAAATTTTGCAGAATGAAAATGCCCCTCATCTCCGCCTCAACGCATTTTTAATGATTTTTTTTTAAAGAGATAATCATGTGTCCTTCTAAGTGACTAAAATTAGGAATAATAATAAAAAGAACAAATTTTATAAGTTAAAATTTAAATTTAATAATATGATATAAATCATATTATTTAAAATAATAAAAAAATTTATTTTATATTGTTTACTAATCAACTTTTTATATTTTATTAAAAATTATAATATTATATGGGATTAGTGCTTGTCCGCCTTACCTCTCAAAAATTAAAAGAAAAAATTACAAAAATTACCTTAATATATACTTTAAAAATAAGGTAATTTAATCTTTTTCAATAAAAAATTCTTGAAACGACGTAATTTTAAAGTGATTTTCCTCCTAATTTTTAAGAGATAAGGCTGACAGACACTTTTTTCATATTATATTATCAACTTATTTAATAACATAACTTATACTTCATCATTTATCTCAAATTTTACTCCCTTACACCCCTACTCTAGAATTAAAATCTGAAACATTAACTAAACCAGTATCCCATTTTTCTAAAGTGATGTTAAACCAGTCCATGATATTTATCCTCACTTTCGAAATAACTTTCCCGTTTTTTATATACTTTTTTCATAAATTAAAATTTTAATAATAATTTATATTTTTACCTATATTACCTTTAAAAAAATTAAGTTAAAAAAATCTAATGATAAGACAAATAATTAAAATTAAAGACTATAGGATTACAATAAAAAAATATTTATTCTCTTAAAAGTTAAAACAATAACAATTAATTTAAAATAAATTTTAAATAAAAAGTAATAGTCATTTTAGACCACTTGGAGTATAATGTAAGTTTTAGGTTTTAAAGATGCAAAACCAACAACCTAAATGCTACAAAGGTTGAGAAATGCTATCAATGCTCTTTTTAAACACTCCCCTTTAATTAAGCCACATGAACATGACATTTAAGTGATTGACGATAATTATAAATTTTACGGTGGAGGTAAGAAAACCATTAGAGATGCCCCAAGTGAACATGTAATTTAACATTTATAGCACATGGAGCGAGTAAACTCCAGCTTCAACCTAGTAACAATTAAGCTCAAAATCCCTCCCTCCTCAGGCTCTCCGTGCCATTGGAAAAAATTTCAAATCAACCCCTCACAAATTTGCGGGTGGGTGGGTGGATGGGTGAGGGAGGGAGGGGAGGCAAAGCCATTTTACTTAGAAGGTTAGTAGCTGATGCACCTAATATCTTCTTCGATTGCAGTCCACAAGCTGCTGATACAGCAACCAATACCCAAAGAAGCATACCCTGACCAACTTACACAATGAGGTTAGATATGGTTGGACAGAATATTGCAAGAATCAGGAATCTATTTCCAGATGTCTGCCATAGTACTTCATATCAAAAAGCCATCAAACATTGTATGATCATGCTTCAGGTGGTTTTCCAATGAGACTAACATTAGAAATCAGTGATGCAGAGCACAATACCAAGAAGTCAATACATGTTACAATCTTGTTTTAGGTGGTTTCAATGCAAGGTAAATACTCAGCAAGACTCTCCCACCAAAAACAAAAAGGGGGGAGGGGAAAAAGACTAAGCAAGACTCCACTAATGCAGTGCACAAAGATGAAAAAGAAGAATGTTTTCCTCAAATTATATATATGTTCGTACGAAATAAAGACTCCACTAATGCTGAACACAAACAAGAACTTGTAAAATGGCCATTAAGAAAACATGCACCTCAAACAGGTCCGAACATAGGGCAAGCAGTCCCCCCAACAATTTTAACATAATTTGACTTGTCAATCACAAAAATCAAATCTTCTGCCAATGAAAGTGGCTGTGCCCGCATAGACTACATGCACCTCAAATAGAATAAAAATATGATACTACAAAACAAATTTAAAAAGGAGAAATAATTTATATAAACCCTAGTAACAGTCTACAGTCTTCTATCATATCAAAACAGCTCTGAACATCCAATCCCAAAAAACAGGATAAAGGCATACAGATGCTACACCATACAGATGCTACACCACCAAGTGGCGAGCATATAATTATCCAAATGTTATATATCATCAAAACATGGAACTGGTGAGCTTGTAATGATAAGGACCACTACAAGCGTCAAAGTTCTCATTGTAGCCAATAAACAATCAAAGCCCAAACTACATGTGGACTACTTGCCCCCTATTACCATCTGATTATCACCACTTGGGCCCTATGACTTATTTTCAACAGCTCAAGTATGGACACAATTAAACAAAAAAGAGGCTATCCATCCACACTATTTTATAACCAGTTTAAATATAGAAGAAGATATGTAATATATTTATAATGGGCTAACAAGCTTCTCTGTCAGCAAGGACCTTTCAAACCCTATTGATTCAATTGGACCAAATACTAACTCAACTTACACTTATCCATTCCTGAATCTACAACTGTAGTCATACTTGTTTCTAAATAAAAATCCAAGAAAACCAAAATGAAAACTCATTGACCATCAAGACTCTCAGGGTATCCAGGGTTTGCTCCACCTGCCAAATATAAACTTTGAAGATCCATCAGAACACATGAAAAAGACATAAATTTGCTAAAAAATTCTACAACATACCGCGGTGCCTTCTCAAAGGAACAATCACCTTCAAGACATGGAACAATAAAGGGATGGTAGGAAGCTTCAAGATTGTGGCAACTTGGCAAACTTAATGGCCTTACAATAAATTGGACACTATCCCCAGGAAATAGCTAGAAGAGCTAGGCCAAACAACAAAGCAGTTAACAATAGGTATGATAAAAAAATAAAAATTGTCAGTAACAAGTTGATGATGGGAGTTCAAACAAACCAATAACAGTAAAATATTAGCGAACAGAAACAATATATGAGGCAACAAAAATCCATGAGTAAACAAAACTAGTCCTATAAAAGAACTGAATATACTATCAATAATATCTCCAGTGGTCTTTCAGAATATGGCTGCATAAACTGAACTTCCAGCCAAAGTCTCTGCAAATGTCATAATAGTACAGCAAGGTTAAAGATGTGAGTCCCAAATTTCCAACAAAGTCATGGCAAGAGGTAAGAAATCAGGTTCAGAAGAGCCCCAACAAACATCAGTCCTGTAAAATTATAGCACGATAGCAAGAGAGAAGGTTATGAAATATAAAAATGATTTAACCAAAAAAGCAAGTGTTAATGTGAGCAACAAAATTCTCAATTAACCAACATTATTAGAGGGGACAGAAAATAGAAAGACAAAAGGGATCTCCTCTTGGAAAAGTGCATGGACATGCATCACTGTATTACAAGGTTAAAGAACATAATCTGAATTAAGGGGAAAAAAGGCAGAATACTGTCAAATTTCATTTGAACCAAAAATGCAAACTCAAACCTTTCCATATATAGCATTAAACCCAATATCGTTAAGTCATTAAAAGAGAACAGGTTTGCTTACCTTCATCCCTCTTCAAATTTATAAATTTTTCTATCTTGAAACATGACAAAAGTCAAGTGAGAGCTCTAAAGAAAAGAAATAAAGGACAAATCCAAAGGAAAAAATGCATAAGCTTACCCCTCTTATTCCCTCTTATCATGCATTAATAAGCTAAGGTACAGAAAGAAAAGCTCAAGGTTTAAGGCATCATAAGAGCAATTAATCATGCTAAGCAATACTACCTTCTACAGTGACCAGATAGTCAGAAACACAATCAGGTTAATCAAACATCAAAGAAACATGTTTTTATACTATGGCACAATGAAGGATCACTGAATGGTTGTAATGTTAGCCCATGGTCATAACAACAACATCAAAACTAACTAATGAAAATATGTGGAGTACGCAGGTTTCTTCAAACAGATTTAGTACATTACCTCTGAACCAGGAATCATCAACACAATTGACCCATGCTACTTCATCTCTGCCATGAACTTCTCATACTCAGCATCTGCACCATAGGTCTTCTCTGCAGAAGAAACAGGAGGAGGAACAGGTGGATTTGGGGCCCAGGGCACATTACCCATGCCCGGTGAAAGGTCAGAAGTTAAGGATGGTGCAGGAGGAGGAGGAGGAGGAGGAGGAACTGCATCGTAGTAAGAAGAGTAACTAAATGAAGCTGTTGGGTATGCAGGTTGTGAATTTGCTGGCATTGCAGTCATCGAGTTCCCATACGTATTGGTAGGAGCAGCTGGAGCAGAAGCGGTGTTTTCAGATTGCACTCCTGGTGGGAAATTTTGCTGCATTTCACTTGAGGTGGCTGGTGGTGGTGGGGCACCAGGTGGAGCACCAGGTGGAGCTGTCTGCACTTGAGGGGGATACTGCATGCCATAAGGGGGCATTGGCTGGCCAGGAACTGGAGGGTACATAGTTGATCCTGGTGGAGGAGGGGGAGGAGGAGCATAAGATGCATAGGGGTTAGGAACTGGTGGTCCCCATGGAACTGGGGGCCGTGCATAGCTAGGAGGCATGGCATTGGGAAGGGGGCCACCAGCTGTAAATTGCTGGGATGGATATACACCAATTGGTTGACTTGAAACAGGATATGTTGGCATTGTTGATGCTGGAGGACCCGGAGGCACAGTAGGCTGTGGAGGCTTGCCTGCAACTCTAACAGCAATGGTCCTCCCCTCTAGACGATAACCATTCATGGCTTGAATGGCACTGTTAGCCATTTGAACATCAGCATATTTCACAAAACCATAACCTTTACTCAATCCAGAAACCCGATCCTTAATAACCTTTGCCATCACAATCTCACCATAAGATGAGAACAAACTGATCAAACCATCATCATCCAACGTTGGTGGCAAGTATCCAATATACAAATTAGTATCATCATATTCCTTTGTGGGCTTAATTGGATTTGACCCTAAGCCAGGATGTGCACTTGCACCACCACCAGTGTTGTTAGCCCAAGGAGGATTGCTTCCAGCATTGCCTGAACCAGCTGCAGAGTTCTGCTTGCCCGCTGAATCTGGGACAGTACCTCCCAACTCAGCTAAGAAATTCTGATATTCATCATCCATCTTCTTTCCTGTTGTTGCCTTCATGGGACAATCAATAGTCGGATGCCCACCATCACCACATATCTTACAAAGGACATCGCTTTTAAAAGTTGAGGTGCGTGAAGGACAGGCATACTGACGGTGTCCTGGCTCACCACACAATCTACAATACTCTTCGTCCCTTATGGTCCCATTTAAGGCTGCAAGTTCCCTAAGCTGTTGTCTCTTATGCTCATTCAATACCTCATCCACAGGCTGCAGGAGCTTCTCCACCATTGCTGCTGCAGCATCAAGTGATTCTTGCGTCTCACCCTCAACCAAAACATGCAAATCTTCATTCTCAGAAGGGTCAGCCTTCAAATCCCTCTTCTGCTGCAGCCTTCCCTCTTTCACAGATCCCTTACCCCTAATAACTATCTTTGCACCCGTTTCTTTCTCCATCCTCTTCTGAGTGTTCCCCCTTGGTCCAATAATCAACCCAATAAAATTGTAACCTGGGTATTCCTTCATTGGTATGTAAAGCTTCTTTTGAAGCCTAGGTGGCCTATAATCTGCTGGTGGTTTAAATGCTGGATTCTTCTTGATAATTTGAGAAATAATCTCTTGCCTCTCTTTATTCAATCTCTCCCGCGCCCTATACTCCCTCGTATTAATCCTTACTCCATTATTATCATATATAGGTTCAGGTGAAGGCGACCTAGCACCCTCAGGCCTATCATCCAAAGCCATAGGAGACTGCAACATCCTACTAATCTCTAACAACCTACTATTCAAAGCCTGAACCTCAGGATCAAATCCAATACCTCCAGTGATATCCTTAATGAAATCAGGGAGCTGAACCAGAGGCGTGGACTCATCATCCGCCCACCGGGACTTGCGCTTCTTAACGCCACTCCCGGAATCATCGTTCCCACCCCGCTCGTTCGAATCTGACGGTGGATCCCAACGGCTCCGACGCTTCCTCCTGCTCGTGGTCTCCTCTTCGCCACCGGAATAATCCTTGTCGGCTTCACTGTGCGTATTGGTAAGTCCATTCTCAGACAGCAACGGCTTATGGATCTCAGGTTTCGAAAAAGAACACTGGTTCTGATTGTTGTTGTCATATCCGTTATATTGGGGATACTCCGTGGTGGCCTCGGAATCGGGAGCTAGGGTTTTGGATGGGTTTTGAGCATCAGAATCAAGGCTTTGAGGAGGGATTTGGCTGCGGAAATCTAGATTTTCTGTGGGATCGTTAAGGTTAGCTTCGAGAGAAGCCATAGATTCGAAGAAGAAGTAGCTAGGGTTTGGGCTCCAGCTGCAGAGATTGGGTGGAAGAAAGAACCACAGGAATGAAATTTAGATCGCGGGAGAACAAAGAGCTGGTTGTGCAGAGTATTTATAGTGACGAATGTGACGTCAATTCTGATTCAGATTCGGTTGGGGCCTTAGGGGAAGATCCCAGCGAGGGGAGAAACTGGAAAGGCAGCAAGTTTGGGCTTTGACCAAATCCGCTTTTCACTTCCTGTTTTGGGCTCCTTTTCGGCCATTAGGCCTGTTTAAAGAAATTGGTTTAAAGCCTTTTCAAGTTATAGTTTTCTGAAAAGGGAAGAGGATATGGTTACACATAAAAATATTAAAGTTATAATATTATATAATATTATTTTTAAAAATATTAATTTTACTTTGTTTAATTATTGTAAATAGTTAATAATTAATAAAATAATTAGCATATATAAATTTAAAAACTAATTTATATGTTGATATTTCCCAACTATTTAAGATATTGAAAAATTATAAGCTAGCTAGTTAATTATAGTTGGCTTGTCAATTACAATTAAGGCTCAATTTAATTTTTTATTTTTTGTTTTAATTGTTAAAATTTAAAAAAAAAATCAAAAATTAAAAATAAAAATTAAAAATGTCAATTTATTGAGTACATAAATTTTTAAAACTTTATATCTAAAACTAAAAACTTAATT